CGTATAGCACCGGAGCGGTGGCAGCGGCTAAATTAGCGTCAGCAGTTAATAAATAATTAGCTCTCGGATTCTCTCTAATCGATACCGATTTGCGCTCGCGCGCCTCGTGTGTATCTGTGTGTGTGTGTGTGTGTGTGTATGTTTCTGTGCTCGAGAGCAGGCCGCGTGCAGTACAACGGAGGGAGCCCTGCGCAGCGTCTACATATCCATAAATCGAATGCATACGGCGGGGTACACACATTAGTAGAAGCCGAAAAATAAGAGCGTGAGATCGAGCTCTCTGTCGAGGAGGCTATAATCTGCGAGCTCTGTATGCCTGCTTAAAAAATCCACTACTATGCGAGAGTCAAAAGGCCCCGCGCGCGCAGAGCGATTTGCATTTCAGCCAATTTATTTAGCAACAATATCTGTCTATAAACGCTTTATATAGCGCGTGTGTATTTAGATGGCTTGGCTTCGATAAGATGCAAATTATTAGACGTTTTGTTTTCCCTCTCTCTCCATATCTTTCTTTTTCTCTCGTTCGATAGACGAGATTTCGCCCTCCCTGCATACATACACAGAGATCTGTATTTGAATGCGATCGCGGGCTGCGCAGAGCAGTTTGCGTGCAATGGGAAGAGGCAGCACACATAACGTATATAAACGGAGCCGTGCACGCGCCAATCGATCGAGTATAAAAGAGAGGACTTACAGAGAGGAGTTGGCTAAGCTAAAAGAGAGAGAGAGAGAGAGAGAGAGAGATGACTAATGTGCCGCAACAATGTAAAGTTGCGTCATTTTGCGCGTATATCGTTTTCTTGCTCTCTTATAGCAGACACTCACACACACACGCGATCCGTTGTTGTGTTCTGTGCACTGAAAAACAGTCCGCGTGCAGTACTACTATATGCGTGAAAAGCTCGACGCCGAGAGAGCGCGAGAAAGTATATAGACGTACGTATGCTGCTGCTGCTACACGTTTGACGAGCGTGAGAGGCTGACCTCTCGTTACACACACCGGGCAAGAGATACACTTAAATCTTCGAACCGAGCGCCGCGGCCGAGGGTGAAGTAACGAGGCATTTTCCTTCCTTTTTTTTCTCGACTCCTCTTCCGAGTTTTTATTGTTGGTGTACGCGCGCAGAGGTCCTCGCCGCGGACGCACTTGGCCCGCTGCCCATGCAGCGCGACGAACAAAAAGTTTTTTGTTTTTTTCCCGCAGCCCTGCCCGCACACAAAAGCTCGTATACCATGCCGAGCTTGAACAATTATTAGCCACGAGACGAGGAGAATATGCGCCCGCACGCACGTATCGCTTGGCTTGGTATCCTATATATAGGCAAGTAGCACGAGCGCGTGTGTCTACGATTAAAACTTATTGTCTGCACGAATATACACGCGTGTGTGTGTGTGTGTGTGTTAGGAAAAGTGCGCTATTTAAATGCAAATACAGGTACTACTATACATGGTTACAAGAGAGCAGAAGCCCTGAGCGCGCGCACGAGACGCGACAATATTTACGAGCCAGGTATAAAAGAACAATCCAAGAAAATGGCAGAGATGCAGCCCTTATGTCAGCCGCGAAAGTCTTCTCTGCTATGTATGAAGGTATACGCGCAGTAAGACGTGCGTTATGTGTACGCAGGACGGTGATTCATTGCTCGACTCTTCTAAGCCCTTCGATTATCCTCAACGTATACATACAATATAATCTGTGCGTTTAAACACCGTCATTTTATTACGCGCACTCGCTACTTTGCTCCGCGTCCGCTTGCAATATTCTTTGCTTTATTCTAGCACATTTTCTCGATGATAGGCGCGTAATGAGAGGGATGAAAATCCTGCACACGCGATATCCACCAAGGGGGGCCTACACAGTTAATGTGTCTATTAAAGCTGGTGGACATATACAACTACTTTTATTTAGCCACTTGCGGAATTACTGAAATAAAGGTACTCTCCATCTAGCGGGTAAAACTAGAATTATCGTTGTTAAAGTGGTTGAAAGCTTATCTACACTTTTTAAAGAATTATATTTTCATTTTCATATCATTATAATATATTAAAATTTTTTAAATTATACTTAAAATAAATTAAAAATATTCCAAGCTCTCTTAACTGATATAATTATATTTTTATTGTAAGTACTTATTCATTTGAAAACTAGTCATCGATTTCCTGCATTTTTTGTTCTCATACCGTCATTAATTATTTTCTACATCTCAAACAATCATTACTCCTACATAATTAAATTTTTATTTAAAGCCGAAGAAGAATAATAACAACTACCAGAGAGCTCTTCCGTTTGATGAGTTACGACAATCGCTGAGTCTCAAATAAGTACAGCGTAAGCTTATAATAATAATCAGTCTAAAAGAAATGTAACAAATCGCGACTGCGAAGAAAGTTGAAATAAAACGAAACGAAAGAGATTGTCGACGGGTTATTAGGTTATTCCTCGGGGTATTTCGCCGTGTGCTTTGATTAATATAATGCCATGACGAAAGGATCTTATACAATAAGAGCTGGGGACTTGATTATCGTGTGGTCACGAATGTCACTCGGCGCAAGATTGAGTCTCTCTCGTGTCTGCCGCGACGTTATATTATGAAATTAGAGATATTGAAAAAAAAGAAGAAAAATACACGTTCTTATTGTGCGATGGCAGTCGAAGATTGCTGCACCACGAGGAGCGTCGCGTTCGCGACTTCGTTACAATAATCGTAAACAGTAATCGTACAGCACTTAAATGCTTGGGTTCAGTTCGAAGGAAAACATTATGACTACAAGCAGAGCCGATCTTAATGCTATTTGAGTCTAAAACTTTAACTAAGATAAACTAAGAAGTGAATTTAATTAAATTTTGAGTTTTGCTTTTTTTCTATCAAAACAATTGCATGACGCTCCTATTAAGGCTTCTCCATACACACTGTAGTCGGTAACTAATTCGTGTATTTTGTACTCATTTTTTTCATTTTCTATTCAACCATTAGCCTTGAAATTTTGTGGGGGTGATCAGGAAACTAATACAAATGTGCCTTAGACTGTCCGTTATTTCCCGAATTGCTCCAATCCTCGCTCTCACCCCTTGAAAGCTCATCATTTGGCTCACAATGAAAGAAAATCACTGTCCGACCGCGATTAATTAACTCTAGATAGTGCCACAAGCGTCAGCTTTTTTCCCATTTAAATAACATGGGGAAATTTAAAAAAAATGTAAATTGAAGTTTTAAGCCACTTAAAATCGCTAATCCTTGGGTTTAGCGACGGTTTTCACTTCCTGGTACACCCATAATGAGTAACCAATACTTACGGGAACCCTCCGAAAAGAATTTTGGATTTTGCACACACGATATACTCAAAAAATGAAGAAAAACAGCATGTTGGCGTGGTTTTTCGATATTTTACAGCAAAACTAAGCATGAACGATCATTTTAAATATATTCACATCAAAGTTGAGATCAAGACCTTTAATTTGAGGGTAATAAAACCTATCTACGTTCATTAGAACCGAAGTTACAGGCTTATGAAGTTTCATTGAAAAATCATGCATCGAATCTCGTCCGGCCGCCCAAACGCGCGACTCGCGGCTCGCTGTAATCGCAACTCGTACAAATGACAATGTAATTCAACTAAAAAAATAATTGAAAATATGGTTTTTATGCGTTTTTTTTTCAGCTTTCACATGGTGTAGTCGGATTTTTTGATAATTTACACGTTCCCTAGGAAAAATAGGAAATAAATGTTCAAACCCATTTTTCCGTACGAAAATGAAAATTATCGAAAAATCCGACTACACCACGTGAAAGCTGAGAAAAAAACGGTTAAAAACCATATTTTTAATTATTTTTTTAGTTGAATTACATTGTCATTTGTACGAGTTGCGATTACAGCGAGCCGCGTGTCGCGCGTTTGGGCGGCCGGACGAGATTCGATGCATGATTTTTCAATGAAACTTCAAAAGCCTGTAACTTCGGTTCTAATGAACGTAGATAGGTTTTATTACCCTCAAATTAAAGGTCTTGATCTCAACTTTGATGTGAATATATTTAAAATGATCGTTCATGCTTAGTTTTGCTGTAAAATATCGAAAAACCACGCCAACATGCTGTTTTTCTTCATTTTTTGAGTATATCGTGTGTGCAAAATCCAAAATTCTTTTCGGAGGGTTCCCGTAAGTATTGGTTACTCATTATGGGTGTACCAGGAAGTGAAAACCGTTGCTAAACCCAGTGGCTTAAAACTTCAATTTACATTTTTTTTAAATTTCCCCATGTTATTTAAATGGGAAAAAAGCTGACGCGTGTGGCACTATCTAGAGTTAATTATTCGCGGTCGGACAGTGATTTTCTTTCATTGTGAGCCAAATGATGAGCTTTCAAGGGGTGAGAGCGAGGATTGGAGCAATTCGGGAAATAACGGACAGTCTAATGTCCCTATGAAGCTATTTTTTCATATAAATATTGTAACAATTTTTTTTTCAATTATCTGAAAAAATAGCTTCATAGGCACATTTGTATTAGTTTCATGATCACTCCCACAAAATTTCAAGACAATAGGTTGTATACTAAATGAAAAAAATGGGTACAAAATACGCGAATATAGTTACCGACCGAGTGTGTATAGAGGACCCTTAAGTAACTCTAAGGTACTCTTCATCAGAAACAACGTATTGTATTGAATATGTACCAATCAAAAATTTATTTGCCGCTTGCGAGTATAGAATACTCCATCTATTGGATGAGTCAAAAAGCTCAGAATTAAACATAACGCTTTAATTATAATCCTCGTTGTAAATATAAAACGAATTCCAGAATATAAATTTTACCTTTTTTTACAAAAATATAACTCATTTTTAAAATATAATAAGAATAGTCACTAAAAGTGTAACTTCAACAAAATTTTTCAAGAAAACGCATAGAATTCTTTGGAGATACCCCAACGAAACGTTCGATAAGAAGTTTCAGATAAAAAGAAAGTAGAAAAAAGAAAGTAGAATAAAAGGTAGAAAAGCTCACCAAGACAGCTTATAACGTGATCCGCTGGCGGTCGCAGTACGTTCCGCGCCCAAGCTGCTCTCAAGACCTCGAGAGCGCAGGGCGGACCTCCGACCATGAGTATGCCGGGCGCCACGTGGCCCTTGTACCTGAGCTGGCGGGTGGCATCGACCAGCGCCACGTTCCACCAGCATCGGGAATTCGCTTCTAGAAAGCTCTGTAACAGGCACAAAAAACAAAGTCATTGCGATGCATGAAAGTGAAGGTATAATATCATATGGATAGGGTTCAACGAGACGATTTCGATAGTGCAATTCCGCCGGCAGCGCGCAGACGTCGTCCGTTAATTGATCTCTTAATCAATGAAACATTTTTCTTCTCTCCTTCTCTGCGCGCGCCTCGTAACGATTGATCCGACAAAAAAGTTACGGCGAGGCCGTTACGGGCTATAAATCTGCAGCGCGCAGACCGTACGTATATAGCAGCTTTGGCGGCGGCAGCTACGGAGTGAATGGAGGAGAGAAATTGGTTAGCGCAGCTCACGACGCTTGTCTTATTATTTACGGCTATCATACATTGAGCCCGTGCAGACGCACACACAACACACACATATACTCACTGATAAGAGGCAGAAAGCGTTGAATCGACTGTCTAGAGCGCGTAAATACACGAGAGGGTCGCCGCGAGAGCATCAACGTCTCTCTATATAAAATAGCTGCCATTGGCTTTACGACGTTCACTATTATATCTTTTGTCGGAACTTTTCGCCTTATAGAAGTTGTCCCCTCGCGGCGGCAGCGGGCGGGCGCGTCGCGCGACGAAAAGCGACGGCCTGAATCATCGATGTTTATTGCCGCCTAAGTTCGGGCAATTATTTTCTGATTTATCCGCGATTCGTATATATTGTACGTATTGCATTGGCGTATACATCGTGAAAATCGATCTCTCGCCGACGAATGCAAAAATGGCAAAGGTCGTCGACTTGCGCGAGCGAGGCGAGCTTTATTATTGACGCATGCTCGCGCTCTCTGTGTCTGTGTCTATATAATGCACATATAAAGCAGAAATGCTATATATGTGCGGCAACTTTCGAAATCCGCAGCCGAGAGACAACGCTATACGGCAGAATTAAACCGCGCATATCGTGCACAGCTCGAGAAACGCGTATAACGTATCTATATACCACGCGTACGTATCGGTCTGGCTAAAGGCAAAATAAAGCTGTCCCAACTCGCAAACTGTTCCGTTCAATCAAGTGGAAGCGACAGCAAAATTTATAATACATCGCTCTGTTTACGTATGTGTGTATCTCTCGCTTCCGCCTCATAAGCAATGCTTTTCCAGCTTGTATATATAGATCCAGTTCCTCTGTATATGGTGTGTGCGTTGCGCGTTGCATATATATATAACACGTGCTAAAGCACTGCAGGGCTGTATCGCACGAGCTCTACACTCGAAAAAAAGTATAATGTTTACGATGCTTAAATAGACTGGCGGCGCAGCACAATATAGCCGCACATGATAATTGAAATCGAGCGCATTTATATACACACCCAGTCTGTGCGAGTGTGCAGCGCCGTACTCTCGGTACAACTACTACGAACATAGAGCAGAGAGTCCTTTGGTACTGCTGCTGTTGCTGACGGCACATAATTCTCAGGCGTAATACGCCCCCGCGACACAACACAAAAGCCACACACGAGCTCTATAGCCTCGGCTTTTCCTTGGAGGAATTTTTTTTTCTTCTCGATATATATACGTGTACGCGAGCAAAGACGCGATGCGGCTACGTGCATGGGATGCGAAAATGTTGCCGAGCACAACATAGGTATAAGACATACGCGATCGATATATGAGCTCTGGCGTTTTCGGCTACATTTTCCCTCTTCACGTGCGTATAAACGCGTGCCGGGTGATGACGGATCGCTATACACCACCGCGGCACGCGCAATATTTTCTCTTATTTACCTCGAAGATCTCATTGAATAATTGATTTTACTTAGGGCGCAAAATGTCCTTATCCATGATGGTGAGCGAAATCAGAGTTATTTATTATTCGAGCTGTTGCTCGCAATACACCTGCGCTACGTAGCGATATATACTCACGTGTGTGGTACATTTGTACCTGTGCACTCTCAGCTTTTGATACGATCAAAAACGCCTGCGTAAATATGAGATATATGCTGTGTCTGCTCTGTGTGTACGCTCGAGCGGCGAAAACAAAAAAAAACGAAGAAAAAAAATGGAGAAGAAAAAAACATAGGCGCAGACACGCGAAGGACGTTAAAAATAATTAACCGTGGAGGCTCTCCGCAGCAGTTCTCGGCAGATACGCGAACGTGCGCGCAATAGATACTCATATACACACACAAACACACGCATACACGCACGTAAAGAATTATGAAGCAGAAATGGCTATGTGAGAATATGCTTTATCATTTCTCTCCCTCTCTCTCGATGTTGGTTGCTCTCTGCAATAGTATCAATTATTTTTCGCTTTTACAACGATTATCGCTCAGACCAATTGCGACTTTTCACCGAATTATCTATATCGGCTGCATGGGGCAATTACAAATTTCACCGCAGTGTGGCGGCGCGCGAGCTATTATCCGCGCGGAGTGCTGTATATATACCGCGAATCGTCGAAGCTATCTCCAACTCATCTTCTCTTCCGTAAAGACTGTATAGACCAGTGCATATATGCAGCGCGGCGCATTGCGGCATTGCCCAACAATTACAAAATCTTTTTAGAATTTTTCAGCCTTACGACTCCTTTTTTAGTGCACTCGGCGTCTGTATATAAAATAATTATAATTCGCACTCGAGCTTTTTCGCAATCGTCGTCGTCGTTGTAGCGAGCGCGTGTGCATTTTTTTATCCTAATTTATACGCCGCGCTTATAATACATACGAGAGCCACAGCAACTGCAGCCACAGCAGCAGCGCATACAAAGTCGATAAATTGCCAATTGAATAATTAGATATAAGATCGAGAGGGAGTATAAAAGCTGCGTCGCTTTGGACGTTAATTGCTTTCCAAGCTAGTCGCGGGCGAGCGCGAAAAATGTTTATTATCTCTCCCGAGTCTTTTAGTGAATATACACGTATACATATTATTGGCAGCTCAGCTTTCAGGCGGTATATACACACACACTATGCGTGAAAAAGATATGTATACTACACGGCGAATACAATCAACGGCGTTTCTATATACGGTCGCGTGCATGTATACATATAAATGTAAGACGTGGTATCGATCTCGCGCCAAGTTCCATTGACGCGCGTATCCTCTATGCTGTATCCCATGTGTATGTATACGCGCCATTTTGCACACGCACACCTATACGTACGGAGGACGCAGGACCATGTGTGTGTATCAAGGTGAAAGTGTTAGAAACTAGTATCATAAGGAGGATATATCATAGTAAGAGAGAGAAAGATGCCTCGTGGGTGGAGGTAATGGCGGCGCGACACAGAAATCATCGAGCTCGCACGCGAAAGTCTCTCTCTCTCTGTTTAAAAAGATGACGCTCTGTTGCAGCAGCAGCGGCCCAGCACACGTGTACGAGTATCGTTCGAGGATATACTCGATCCCTCCCAATGTACATAAAACCGATGTTGCTCCACATAATCGCGAGTAGAGGACAGGAAAGAAAATCGGTCCGCGTCTGTATATAAGTGCTCGCAGTATATATGATATAGAAGCAGCTGTTATAGATATACTTATATGAAGCACACACACGATTTCATACATGCATCATGATTTATAGCTCGGCTTTTCACGCGCGCCGATCGCGCGAGATCGCGTGGACTGATCGCTGCACGGCACACAACCAGATTTATTCCGGCTTCTTCTTCTTTTTTTTTTTCATATACTCCTAGTCCGGGATACTTCCTCTTGTATATCTATGCTACTAATGCCACGCGGACGCATAAGGTACACGATCGATCGAACTTACGTATTATATCGCTCTCTCTACGAGTTGAGCTTGTCTACACAGATCTGCAGTCGCGATCGTCTTACGCGCGCGACAATTAGCGATCTCGCGTACACATAGTTACGTCAGTCTGTGTGTACCGATGCTTTATATAGTCTGGCGAGGTACAGCTAAACGCGGAAGATCGCATCGCATCGCATCTCGCGCCGGCCGACACTGCTACTCATAAAACACAAAGTCTGCCACGCTCCTATAGCCGCAGCCAGCCTATGCTATATATACATACATATTTGCCAGCAAAATGCCATGCCAATGGAAACACAAAAGCTCAAAGTCACGTTCTCGCGCGCGGCTGCTGCTGCTGCAGCAATGCACCGGGGCAAAAAGGAGCGGGTACCGTAAGTTTCTCGGCTTCTTGGATATTTTTTGTCTGTTGATGCTGCTGCTGTATATGCAGCAGGCAGCAGAACCACCGCAGGTTGTGTTTGTAGCTTCAGACGTCGCCAAGTCGTTGGCGCATTTCAAAATAATATATATCTCGTATCGTTTGTAAGTCAACGATCGGGGCATTTTAAAATAAACATCGCGCGCGCAGAGGCGTGTATACACATACGTGCATCGGTTCGTTACGAGGCGATTTTTCTTCTCTCCCGCATATACCGAGAGGATTATCCACGTTCGCACCCGTTCGCGAAAGCTTAGCGAAAAAAAAGTACTGCAATAATTTCTCGCGCTTGTAATGTCGAGAATTTCACTTTTTGTATAAATCTTTCTTGCGTAACGCGTGCAATAATCTCAAGCACGGTGCATACATTTGTATGTATTTGCACGTCGGATTTTGCCACAACTACATGAGACAGAAAAAACATCGCACATACACGCGTCACGCAGACGTTATAAGCAATCGTTCCTCTTGTAATCCTCGCGTTACATCTTATGTATCACGCGATGGGATAATCAAACGGCCGATCCCTTAGACGACGCGTATAAACAAGCGACGACCGCCACGCAAAGCAGCAGCGGCGGTGGCAATATTGTGCTGACGCAGCTCTGATAATTAGTACGCGCGATGCATATCCGGAATCGAACTAGTTGAGAGAGAAGAGAAAGAGCCGAGAGATAAGCGATGGATATATATTGTGTAAGGCGCGCGCGGGCGACGTGTCGATCGATTAAAGGGACCAGCCCCTTTTTTCTCATCTCCGTTAACGGCCGCCGCGCGTAGCAACCCCTCCGACTACTACTTCGTGCTCTATACCTACTATAACTGCGCCTTTTCATTTAATCTCTAGTATATCTATCCATTGGCCAGTTACATGTGTGTATTATTGATTCGCTTGTTTTTTTTGCTCTCTCTCTCTCTCTCTCTCTCGGCACAAATTGAATATAATAAATAATAAACAAAATATGGCCAGATGGTTCGGAACGGCTATTGTTACGAAACGTTATTTCATCAAAATATTATAACGCCCGAAATGGGTAGCTCGTGTTCTCCGATCTACCGTACAATAACAATGTGAAATTTATCGCGAATTGTGATCTTGTGAGAGAGTGAAATGGTAATTTCAAAGGCGGCTTCTATATGTGTACGTGTTCGCAGGCGCGAGCTGGGGGGCGGCTGCGGCAGCGATAAGCATTTCGATTATAATAAGAAAATTTCGAGCGAAAGTCCATATCGCGCTAAAAACTCTCGCGCGCGCGGAAAAGTATAATATCTCAGCAACAACAACAACAACAACGTGCACACACCAACACACCGACACGATTGTATTATAAAAATGCGCACACAGCATCGCACAGCTATATCACACGGAGACCAGTTCACGGGAATGCAAAAAAAGAAAGAAGCGAAAAAAAGCCCGTAATATATGACAAGCCAATGCAGCGCTGCTGCTGCTGTAGTACATGTAGCCGCACGAGCGCAGCGGCTCGCGCCAACGATTAATTTGCAATTTTACGTAACAAATTTTTGTACCTCCATGTGTCAAAAGAGGCAAAATAAGTCGTTGGATTATTTATCGCGTTGAGCGCGCTACGTACTTCTCTCAAAGAGCTTCGATGATTTTCTACCAAGGCTCGGCCTTCGCCTCTGCGTATATGCCGCAGCAGCAGCAGCAGCTCGAGCTCAGCTGCGCGCGTGTATATAATTCTTCCGAGATCACGGGGAGCGATAAATAATATACGCCTCGCGCGTGTAACATCGGACTATTTGCCGATAATAAACGTACATTTCGAGGCAAATAACAGCGTTTGGAAATATTTGATTTCTGAATTCCATATTATCAATGCTGCTGCACGGCCGCGAATATCATCGTAAACTGCACATATATGTTTGAAATCTCGATTGGCGCTGCAGAATTCGGCGTCTATAGTTATACGTTTTCTATATAAAAAAAAGTGGATGCACTGCAGAGGCTAAGTTTTTGAAATATCCGGGTCAGATTAAGTGAGCGCTGAGCTAGTCGAGCTTTTGCTGCCTCGGGGGAGAGGACAGCAGAGAGAGGGTTTTGTAAAAGCATTTTTGGCACTAAGCGCCAAGAAGCTCCTGAAGATCAATACGGTAGGGTCTACACGTCTTTTCGCGCTGCACTTGCTTCTACGCTCGGATCGTTAAACTTGAAAAAAGGCTCGTCGTTTTTCTTTTGTTTTTTTTTTGTCAAAGTCTCTGCGGTCTATGTGAAAGAAGCACACGTATAGTTCTGAGTGAGAGCACATAGGTACAGGTATGTATCTTACGACGAGAAAGAACAAAACCTACGAGCCACGAAAAAATAGTACACGTCGCGAAAGTCGCGCTCCAATTTTCCGTGAGTACCCACGGTGATCGAGCGCGGCGACATACACACACAGTACACTCAAGTACATTATATACGAGAGGCGTGCGGTGGCTTTAATTTTTCGACAAAAGCTGCGCTGATTGCGTTTCGCGGAAAATCGCAGCACTGCACCGCCGCACACACACAAGCATGATGCATGTACGTACGCGTGGTCCAAGAGCTGAGCTCTCACTCGCTGTGTGGCTGGAACCTACGTATAAACACGCGTGTGTGTTATATATACACACGCGTACAAATCCTAGAGCTCGGTGCTAGCTCGAGCTGAGTTGCAGCCGAGCTTATTTATTGTATTCCGGCTGGTCTGGCTAGCTAACGGTGCAGCACCAGCACCTAGTCCGTCTCTAATCAGCTGTGTTACACTCGAGAGTTGCGGTTTTACCTCCGCACCTTAACGGATTCCAAGTCATCATCAACAACAACAACAACAACAGCAGCAGCAGTCGCGTCTCGAAATGGGCTTTATAGTCCGCAGCTCGTGTGCAAGTATACGCGCCCGTGTGACCGCGAGTTTATTATTAGATATTATGCAACGATCCTCTTACCTGAAACAGATTGTAACCCTTGTCGTACATCCACATATCGTCGGCGGGATGATGGTCCTTGCCGCCTCCGTTACTATTACCACCGTGGAGGGACGAGTCGTTTTGCTTTTGAGCCGGGCTCGAGCCCAGAATCTGCGGCGGTGGTCCGCGCGTCAGCTGAATCGCCAGCGACCTTTGCAGTATGAGGAGGCAGCGCGAGGTCACTCCGTTGCTCATGCCATTGGGCCCGCCGTTGCTCGTGCCGTTGCTCATGCCGTTGGTCTGGTGGTGGCCCGATGGACCCAGGGTCGCGCTGCTGCTGCAGCTGTCGTCCATTATCGAGGACATCTCCTCCTCGTCCGCCACCGAGGCCTCCAGCAGCTCCTTCGATCTTCTTCCTCGTTGATACATTCAATTGGCTCGTGCTGTTTTTCCAGAGGGGGAAGGAAAGGCCGATCGAACTATCGACCCCCACTGCCTCGTTCCATAATCCTCTCTTCTCTCTGGACGGCCTCTAGTGTATTTGTGTAGCCCGCGTGGCTTTTTGTCGCCTGTGCAGAACAGAAAAACAGACAGAAGATTTTAGCTTATATTTCCTGGCTATATACTCGCAATTTCGTGCGGTATTATGATAAAAGGAACCGAAAGCCATTCGCTTTTATTTCGATCAATGCTCGCTGTGTACGCGCGCGCCGAGCTTCGACCTAATTGATGAAGAAGAAAAAAAAGAAGGATAAAAAAATAAGAGAAAAGGGAATTGGCACTGGTCCAAGAATAGCTCGCTTTGCATCCTCTGCCAAATATCGCCCATATATCCAGAGTAATCTACTCCGAATGTACTGATAGATTAGACGGGCTGCAGCAGCACTGCACACAAAAACACAAAAACACACACACACACACTCAGAGAATACACAGTATGTGCAAGAGACAGGTCGAATCAAAGGAAATTACATCACGGACGAATGCACGCGCAGAGTGATGTTATATTAACGTGTACGTCGTCGTAGGTCGTTTATACAGCGCCGAGAAAGAGAGAGATGGTTGAATGCATGATGCACATAGAGAGACAGGCAAGCAGCAGCTTAGGCGGAAGCTCCGTAGGACCCGGCGGCTCGGCTATATAGCTTAGCTCGCGCGCGTGACTCATCGGGACTCACATGTGTGTATGCACTACTGCAGCTAACTTGTTTCCTGTCGCGATCTCGACAAACCACCTCGTTCGTACAATATACAAGGTATATATCGTAAGTATGTAGTGTAGTATATCGCCTTGCGCTCGCTCCTTCTTCGCTTATTTTTTTCTTCCTCTCGTCGTCGCCTCCGACTCGAGTTATTTCTCTCATTTGAAAGTCATACGTATATATGCAACAACGGTGCTGAGTACACGACGACGACCAGAGCTTGCGAGGAAGGGAATATAATATCAATTCACACGAATCGAAAGTGAAATCCGTGAGAAGAAAAATAACGAAGGCAGTAACGAAAGAGAGAGAGAGAGATAAAAAAATTGAGTTAAGTTACATACGTGTGTCGTGTGAATTATTACGAATCGCAATTTGATTTATTGGTCGGTATTATCGATATAAAATTTTCCTCATCGACAAAAGTCGGAGTCGACTGAGAAAGAAAGCGCCTTGAGATGGCATTTCTTTTCTGCCCGCGGAGCTTTAATACACGTAGTGTATAGTATATATCTCCTAATAATCGTGTGTGGCTAGCGAGTGTGCCGTGGCTCGTGCACGACGCGGACGCATGTGCTGGCACGAGAGGGTGGCTTGATTCGATTTGTGCCGTGGGGAAAGATATACCATATATACCTACGACTTCTCGACTACTCTAACTTTGAGAAAACTGCCCTTAAGGCTGCCGCGAGTATACTTTCACCATGTGTGTGTGTGTTTACTACACTTCGGCCGCCACAGGATTCTTTATTTCGACTGTCGACGACGCGTACATATCGCTCTCGATTTATATAACTTCCTCGTCATCACATGTGCGCTGCAGTGTAGTATATTCTACGCGACGTCACGGCGTTTATTAATTCGCCGTATTATATGTTTATATTTATATACGCGATATACGCGCCGAACCGAGAGCTTTAATAACCGAATGCATATTATAACTACGCGGACATGTACTCGTACACACACACACACACACACACACACACACACTCACTAACATCGGAGCGTATAATTATTCATCAAGCATGACGAAGTTGACACGAGGAAACACACACACACAAGCGCCGTGTGGCGCAGCACGCGACTATGAATATATATACGCGAGAGATCGCTTATTATTATTTTAATCGTTTGCCGAGATATGTATATAACTTTCGCTGCCACCTTTTGGCAGTTGGCAAAACAAGTGGTGCATAATGGTAGCAGCAACAGCAGCATATATCCCAGTGTACATAAAGTGGTAATAGTGTCGTCGCGGCAAAAAAATCTCCGCGATTGACTTTCCCGCCGCACGCGCTTGCATTGCATTGCCGCAGAAAGTCTATTGTCGGCTTGCGCACACAGGCTTATGTTATGCGCGATCTTATAAGTCGAGCTATATAAATGCAGCTTGAGGGGGCGACGAACACAGTACATGTGCGGTTGCGTGCAATAGATTTACCGGAAATTTACTTCTAGAAATCATATTATATAGAATAATTTTCGTATACTCTTACTCTCCTCCTTCCCACCCTTCCCCACATCTTCCACCGAGTGATTTATTTATATTACATGCAATGGCATCCACTGTATACTTGCGACTCGCAAACATTTAATGAACGCGATCAAGGAGAAAGGATGACAAAAATTTACTCCGCATTAAGCTTAAGCGCTGGAGAGCACCTCTAAGTATAAGCCTCTAAAACTGTTCGCAAATAGACATGCACTTCCTTCGTCAGCCGTAGCGCACGTACGTACGTACACATACGTGCATAGGTACGCTATTTAATCGCGAGCGCACGCGATTTTCCCCTTTTCACCCGGCGGGGCTCTGATATCGCGATCGTAATGAAAATCGCATTATAAAATCAGCAAATGATCATTAAAGTATAGTTCTGTCTCGCTCGAGCTTGTATATGGAAATTCACGTGTGTGTTCGCCTTCATAATATAGCTCCAAGGCACTGGGAAGTTTGAAAAATAAAAGAAAAAAAGACACGTATAATGAAAAATAGGAAGGATTCGCCTCCGCCGAGCTTTTATATATACCCGAACGCGAAAAAATTTCCGTAATTTAACGCGCCGAGCGATTGTGACGTAAGATTACGCGCGCGGGGACTTTTGCGTGTAGCGTATAGAGTATCGTCGTCGTCGGCGTAGAGTAAGTCGCAGTCGCGTCGCTTTCGAGTGATGAACGACGTATGGACGTCGACGCGAGTCGTACGTTGTACACCGGGGAGCGCGTAATCACACGGTGCGGCACACAGGAAAACTGGCTTATGAGCAAGCTCGCGCACTTGTTTATCATCGCGAGCAAGCGAGCGAGCGCAAGGACGATGCGCCGCGCACTTCGAGAGCACCGCATGTACACGTATACGTATTTGTCCTCGGGCGTCATATATAATACACACACACACACACGTGCACATATGAAGCGTACACAATACTCGAGCGGCCAGATATATCTAATATTATTCTCCGCGTGCGCCTTATATCATGCATATATGTGCGGTGCTGCATTGCGGATGGGTGGTCCGTCGCCTCCCGCTACGAGAGAAAGAGAGAAACGAGAAATTAAACGCCGAATGATATCGACCTTTCACGTTGCGGTGATTTTTTTGCGAGCAAACGCGAGTTCGTGTATGTATCCAGGCGTGTATACAAGATGACTTTGACGACTGTCGACTCTGGCAGCGTGTGTATACATACGCACAATGACATATCACAGACGCGCTTGCGACTGCATACACGCATATACATATGTGAGAAAACGCGCCGATTCACCTCTCTCGGTACTATATCGTTTGCACATATATCTACTGACAGCGCGTATTCCGATAATTGTACTTTCTGTCGTTCGCGCGCGGCGTTTTCTCCCGGATAGCTGCAGACACGAGGGTCTCGCGATGCTCCAGTATTTAAACCGCACCACTATACTCGAGCGAGAAAACAATTGGCAAATCGCGAGTGGTATTTGCTATTTATCCTGCCGTTTTCCTTACCCGCAGTAGTACATAGTACATAGTCGTATTATAGCGTGCGAGAAAAATGTGTCTCGCGAGACAAACGATTGTCTCGTCGTTTAAACGCGCGCGAGATACAAAAAAAAGGGAAGACCATGCAGGATGATTGATCTGTGCGATCGAGCTATCTATCTCTATATAGTGCAGTAGCTCTTTGCACTCGGTCTGCTTGCTGCGCGCAGATATAACGGTGGTAGCGACGGCGGCGGCGTCGGCTTGTACGGAGGCGCCTTGTGAAATAATCCCCGCGATTGCCGCGCGCCGCAGAGAGTATACGGCTCTCCCGTGCGCCACAACACGCTATTATATGGCGACATTTATTTTCTATAAATTGTCAGCATAATGCAGCCTATATATAGAATGAGTCTTATTTCATTTGTCATTATGGCACGTCGACTGCGACTGCAGTGCGCCACGCGCGCGTTTACGCTTTCTGTATGTATACGACTTATATATCTTATACGTCGATTCATAGATTTTCCTGACAGAGATCTTTTTTGCCTTTCTCTGCTTCGCGATCGTATACATATAGCATAAACATATAAATGTACGAGTGCATATAGAAACTGCGATTAAACTTTCCAAAACGGATATGTCGCGGATCAGCGCCACCACACACTGTTGCTGCGCGCTTTGTTTTATAAGGCCCGCAAATGGTTAAATATAATAATTAATTTGTTAGCCGCGCACGAGTGCAGTATTAGAAACAACGTATGTGTGTGTGTGCGCCCATAATGATTATTGCAGCGCGCGCACGATAACGATCTTTACCGATCGCTGGGTCGCTTACATCCTCTATACGGAGTGTAGGAGTCTCTCGACTGAGAGAGAGAGGAAGAAAGAGAGATAAAAATTGCTACTTTTGCAATAGCTGTATATAACTTTCAATGAGATTACTAAGCAATTTTCCTATAAAAGAGGCCCCCGCGCGTGCCCATACGTGTATACGTACATGTATATGCGTATGTGTATCTACGATTGGATGAGAGAAAGAGAAAAAAATCGAATTAATCACCGAGGCAGCAGCAGTCAAGCAACAACAACAACGACGACGACGATGACGACGGGCAATTAGAGGGACCTCGCTACGGTCGTAACAATAAAAACGAGTGGTATATTACATGTGAGTCCAAAGAGTGAAGAGCGAGCACGGAGCGACCCGCGTGTGTCCGCGCGCGTTTTATTGCTGCGCACATGTTTCTTTGGCTCTCGTCGTGAGTAAAATCAACATCAACGAAAAAAAAAATTAATAAAAAGAGATATAATAATTCGGTAGTGTGCGCGCTCAAAGGAAGGAAAATCCGTATGATTAGAGAAGAAATCGCGCGCGGGCGCGATTGTAGGTATAAATAAACGCGCAGCCACCCAGAAAGCGACTCCATGATATGCCTCCGAGAGATGAGAGCAGATTTTCATCGTGCACCGCGCGATAGACACATATATTTTATATATGTACCTATATATCCTATGCAAGGTCGTGCGCGAGCACAAGAAAAACGGTTCGCTTTAATTGTGTTCTCTTTCTCCTATATATGTATAAAACGTTAGACGCAAGGAAAGTCCTTATGCTACATACATATCTCTGTTGGTCGATCTGATTAAGTCGTATGGGCATCGGACGTGAACAGGCCTCTCTCGCGAAACACAGAGAAGCAGAGAGAGAAAAGGAGGAATTTCACTTTCTTTCGCTGTCGATTCATTGTTGTAAACGTGCGCATGCATACATACGTGCTGCATACATAGATAGTTATATATTTACACACCGACTCGATGTCCTGTGCTTCTAGATGTGTGTCTAGCAGCTTAGATCGTCTCGTTACAGGACGTCTGAACGCTTGTAAGCTGTTCAACGCACAGAGCGCGGCATTGTGCACGAAATCGTCGATCGAATGTAACGCGTCCTGTGTGTGTGTGTGTGAGTGGGTACATATGCACGAGGTGACTTTACGCGCGCAAAAGGAGATGCCGTAGGATTGGAAAGTCAGTTTCAAACGTACATGGGCGCACTTCTCGCGAGAGCTTTTATTGTGTTGTGCCCGTCATGTATGCAGCGCGTCGCGGCACAATATACATGCGAGCTGCTGCTGCTGCTGCTGTTCAAGCTGGACGAGTCATGGAAAATTTATGCTTATTGAAAATGAAAATACATAAATACTCGGAACAGCTCCTCTGGGCCTTACTGCGTGTGTGTGTGTGTGTGTGTGAGTGTGAGTGATTTTAAATTACAAATTGGTGAACGCGTATAAGTGTTGGATAAATATACATTTCTGCGATAGAGATCGAACAACGAGCAACGATCCTGCGGAGGGATGCGTGAACAGTAAACAAGACTTGAGTGAAACAAAATGCAATACTCGACGTCAACGGACCCATAATTTTATACAATATACATTAACCCATTAACGACCAAAATGCTTGATTTTTTTGTTGGTTTTCGCAGCGATTTTTTTTGTAGTTTTAGACCTTAGAAAAATTTCGCAGGGACCTATTTCGATGTAAAATTTAATGTCCTTTCAGAAATTGAGCGCAAAATTTTGATTTTTTGCGTAATAAAAAAGTTATAGCTACTTAAACAAAAAAAAAACCTAAAAATTTTTGCAAAAAATCAAGTTTTCGATTTTTTTTCGCCATGTTACCGGTAAGGAATCACGATATAAATATGATCAGGGGTGATCACGACTATCAAAGTATCTCAGAGAATTTTTATGGAATTTTCGAACCATTACTTCAAACAAAAAATAACTCATATTCATATAAAGCATGACTCATTTTTACTCGAAAACTATTGAATTTAGAGAAAAAGTGCACAAAACGAAGATTTGAAAAGTGGTTCAAAAATTCCATAAAAATTCTCTGAGATACTTTGATAGTCGTGATCACCCCTGATCATATTTATATCGTGATTCCTTACCGGTAACATGGCAAAAAAAAATCGAAAACTTGATTTTTTGCAAAAATTTTTACGTTTTTTTTTGTTTAAGTAGCTATAACTTTTTTATAACGCAAAAAATCAAAATTTTGCGCTCAGTTTCTGAAAGGGCATTAAATTTTACATCGAAGTAGGTCCCTGCGATATTTTTTTAAGGTCTAAAACTACAAAAAAAATCGCTGCGAAAACCAACAAAAAAATCAAGCATTTTGGTCGTTAATGGGTTAACGTGTCCTCTATTTTCAAACTTGCATAGAATCTCTCTTGAGTGTTTTCAAAGGTTTGTTTGTCGCTAATTTCCTTTATTACTCCGCGTTGACGACCGAATGACCAATTGAACTTTACTCGCGTATCACGTGCGTAATACTATTATGTATACCTATCCTTTATTGATGTGGGTCCAGGGATGTATCATTACTTCGTTGTGTGAATGCGTATGGTCGTGGAGACTGGAGGGGGAAAATATCGCCGAGGAGCTAGTACAATCGCGGGATCATCTCACTAATATTATACGAGTAGTGCGTTCAGTACATAACGCAGAATTCCTGCAGTAAGCAAGTGTTTACAAATTGGCGATGATGTAGTGTTAGCGCTCACCGTACATAACCTCGAATATTTTCTCAGTGCATGTCGTGAATATTTACAGTGAATAAATATAATAAAGCGAATGATGGAAAGCAGAGAGGGTGGATTTAGGTATAACTTTTTTTTTCATGGCGTGAAACTTCATCAAGCGATAGCGATCATTAAACTTGGTTATATATTCAGGGTAAAGCAAGAGCAGGATGATACTTGGAAAAATTCACCTAGTGATAATATTTACGATTCCATGGACTCGTGCGAATCCAAAAACTTCGAAACATTTCCGTATTATGAATCGCCAGTGAGTACAATGATTAAAGTAATGCTTTTATTATATTCAACATAAAAAACTACTATACACAATTTAAATTTTAGACAAATCTTATGAATGAGGTTATGGAATTACGAAAAAAGTTAGATGAAAGAATATTCGTAGATTTTGAGTGCAAAGATGTTAAACTTGATCTGAAGACTTTATCAACATCAACTATCTGCAAATCTGAGCCTCAACATGTTCAGTCTATTGTAAAAATGGAAAACCAAAGCAAGACCAATTACTTCATCGGTATAAAGGATCTGATCGTTTTAATAAAAAAAGAATTTAATTATGATAAGAAATGTCAATTTATATCTAATGAGCGTAAAATAAGTCACAAAGAGCATGAAACTAGACCATATGAATATGAGATTTACGACAATTCATTAGGATACCGAAATAAACTTGAAGGCGATGTCACTAAACACATCAGTACAGTACAAGATCGTATCAAACCCTTCGATTGTGAGATTTGTATCAAATCATTTGGATTTAAGGGTGACCTCAATAAACACATAATTGCAGTTCATGACCGTAGCAAACCCTTCGAGTGTGAGACTTGTCATAACTCATTTGGACACCAAAGTACACTCAAATCTCATAAAATTACAGTTCATGACCGTAGCAAACTCTTTGAATGTGACATTTGTCAAAAATCATTTGGACTAAAAAGTGACCTCAAACGTCACGTGATTACAGTACATGATGGTAATAAACCATACGATTGTGAGATTTGTCACAAATCATTTGGACGAAAAGATTACCTCACTAAACACGTAAATACAGTACATAATCACAGAAAACTCTTCGAATGTGAGATTTGTCACAAATTATTTGGACAAAAATGTTATCTCAAAATTCACATTTTGAAAATACATGATCGCAACAAACCCTTCGAATGTGAGATTTGCCACAAATTATTTGGACTAAAACAACATCTTAAATCTCACATTAATTCAGTACATAATCGAAGCAAACTCTTCGAATGTGAGATTTGTCACAAATCATTTGGACGAAAAGATTACCTCACTAAACATGTAAATACAGTACATCATCACAGAAAACTCTTCGAATGTGAGATTTGTTACAAATCATTTGGACGCAAAAGTGGCCTCAATAAACATACAAGTACAATACATGATCTTAGCAAACCCTTCGAATGTGTGATTTATCACAAATCATTTGCACAAAAAGGTCATCTCAAAATGCATATAGGCACAGTACATAATCGTAGCAAACCCTTCGAGTGTGATATTTGTCACAAATCATTTGGAGAGAAAAGAACCCTCAAAACTCACGTTCGTGGAGTACATTACCGTGAAACACCATTTCAATGTGACATTTGTCATAAATCATTTGGACAAAATAACCAACTCGAAACTCACATTAATTTAGTACATAATCGGAGCAAACCCTTTAAATGTGAGATATGTCACAAACTATATGGTCGCAAGGAAACCCTTAGAGCTCACATAACTTCAGTACATGAGCGTAGCAGACCTTTCGAGTGTGACAATTGTCAAAAATTATTTGCATTTAAAGGTAATCTCAAAACACACATAATTAGGGTACATGATCTTGACAAATCTTAGGATCATAAGATTTTTTTGGAGAAATTTGGACATAATGTATACTTCGGCAATCACAAAAATAAGTTTTGTAATTTAGACAATTTATCCGATAAATATCTTTTAATTTCATTAAGTTCAATAAAGTATTTCAAACTGTTACTATTTTGTTGTGATTATGAAAGACCTTTAACTCCAAACCAAAGATGATTTGGCCGCTGTTTTCATTTTTTTTTCGTCGAAACTAACTTTTATAAGCACTGGAGAGCGATATTATTCAAATTTGGAATTAAGGGACATTTTAATACACACGGTACCTATTTAAGCCTGCATAAAACTTGTAGCTCACTCGTTAACGTACCCCCACACATATACACACTTGGCTTCTGCGTACTAGTGCCAGAGTGGCAAAAGAAAAAGAGGGCTTGTAGTACCTTTATGCCTATACAACGTGATTCGTCTGCTGCAGTTCCTGCGCCCAATTATGCGCGCACGGATCGTTGCAAGATGATGAGCTTTTTTGTCCGCTCTCGAATCTTTCTCTCGTTCTGCCTGTGTATAATGTACCGTAATTCGCAAGACGTAATACACACGTAATGCAAAAACAAAAACAAAAACAAAAAACAACACTACCAAAGACTCGGATGAGTACGTTTGCAGCTGCGTAATTTCACTGTATAAGCTAGAGAGCTGTCGCACGTTTTACGTACACGCGTTTATGTATACAGGATGTTTGTATATACATGGACTGCAGACGGACGAATGGCGCAGACGTAGGCAAAACGAGGAAGGATCTCTCTGATGCTGGATCTGAAGTTTCGTACGTGCGATGTACCTTTTTTGTCCGTCTCTCGCAGTTCCGAGACGAAAAACAGACGAGGACAAAAAAGAGGAAAGAAAGAGTGAGAGAAGAGAATGACGAGAGCGCCTAGAGCGAGTCTGGCACGAGTTTCGTCTCTCGCTCTCGAGCTTTTTTATATATACAAGAGCAAATATATATAAGACGCAAAATCGAGCCTGTGTGCGCCACAGCCTTTAGCCTTTGACTCTTACTTTGTCACCTTACGTACACACACATATACATGCAACGTATAATACGGACTCACGATGATCTCTCGATACTAAGTTATAAAATGTAAAAGCTGCAAAATCAGTACCCCGAGGTCGTGAGCGCGCAGCTTCTTTTTATTTACGCACACAGATCGGCGTGTGCGTATATTGTAGAAAATGCCAATATCATTATGGTCTTTTTGCAGGCCAATCGTAGGAACGAATACGTCGAAAGAGCTCGGTGTACATCCTTTTCGCTCGTACGCCGTACGATCGTGTCTGCTAATGACGTAGCATTATATAGCCGGGGCTTTTTTTCGACTTTGCGCGGCGCACGGTATTCGTACGTGAGTGCGCGAAGCCCGCAAGTTCTGCGCGCGGGATAATCAAAATACTGCGCTGTTTATGAAGGCGCGCGCGCGATGTATAGCGAGCCAATAATTGCTCTATTTACCGAAAGGCTGCATGTGTACGAACGCGCGAACAGTACCAGAGTATCCCTTTAATGCACACACGTATATATAGATGTGTGTGTGTGTGTGTGTGCTTTCGAAATCGAGCGTTTATACATACTAAACTCGCGAACGGTCTCTAAACCTTCTGCAGCTATATATACGCTTATTTCTGCGAGTCTTGCGGAGCTACTATACTGCTAGCACAGCATACACACACACAGGCACACACACGTGCTGTGTAAAGCAATTTCAGCGGAACGAATATAAGGTACGGTATTCCTAAACTCGCTTATATGGTAGCACTGCGGAGCACTGCAGATCTCTACGGGCGCATCGTTTTTGCATACGGAAAAAAATCCGAGACTTTGCGTGCTGCGTCTGCGAGTGTGCACGTATAATGCACGTGTGTGTCTGTACGCGCTCATAGGTGCAGTGGGCGGGTGGATAAACGCGCTTACGGGGCGGATGTTGTTAACCCTGTGTAATACTGCTGTATAAGAGATGGACTCTGCGAATATATATCGTACGCCTCGCGTAGACCGTATTATATATACGGCGGCTGCGGAATATTGTGCGCACACACACACATGCACACGCACTCCTCGGAGTGAACGAGAAACAGAAAGAGAGAGAATATAAACAGTATATTGGAGAGTATAGTGGATTTTACGACAGAGGGAAAGAGAGAGAGAGAGAGAGAGAGAGAGAGAGAGGTTCGCCGCACTCGCGCGTTGAGCGCAATGTGATATGCCGCCGCGGAGCTGCCGCCGTTTGCTAACGGGACATGTGCCTAATGGTACTGCTACCTACGGCATTGTGAACAAATAACGCGCGCGCGCGCGCGGCAGATTCGAGAGAGATTCTCTCTCTCCGCTATTACATATTAAGTGGCTATTTTCGCGTTTACCTTATGTATCCTCTCGAGAGCCCCGATTATGGCGCATATACCTTTTATATACCCCACACATACACTCGAGATAGTACAGTATGGCATAAGTAGTCGTATCGCGTGCGCCTATTGTATGCGTTAGGGTTTAGTGATTTCCAGGCCGTTGTCACTTTATATTGTTCAGTATATATACGGACAAATACGCGCAACTGCCGTAACAGCAGCAGCAGCGGCGGCTTGGCTTAAATATTAACCGCAGCTGTTTCAAGTTCACGTGTACGCGGGGTAAAAGGCCACCGGATTTTTTCCTCTCTCCTTCTATTATTCATCTTGGCGCCATGGCTGCATTTGTATATATAGCTTATACTCGCGAGCAGAGATACGACAATCGATAACGCGTCGTGTGTAATTCTCCAGAGCTCCGGTATAGTTATAAGTTACCGTGGCAAATAAAATGTATATAATCGCGGAAGAGTAGTTACGAGGCGCTCAAGAGAACGGAAAAAGAAGCTCCGAGTTAGAATCGATCCTCTCCTCGCTCTTCCAATTGGATTTTCCGCGCGCAGAATTGCCACAGGGAGTATCCCCGCGCGCGCGTATTTATAAGTTTGATTTCTTTCGGATATATATAGGAGTCTCTCGCGCGCGCGTGAGCGTGTGTATACCATATACACCTAAGAAACTTGAGATATCGTGTGTCTACACAACATGCGTATACACACTGACTCCGCGATAGATGTACTACTCTATAGGCGCAGTGCACGCAGTGCCGAGTGGGTGTGTGCGATACGTATCGCGCGATCGATTTCTATATACTGCACACACTCTTGCCGCGGTGGCATATCTTTACCTCGCTCGGATGCGATACACGTATATAAAGTGCGAATATGCTCGCGTATCGAAAACAGTGGCATAGCTGCTGCAGCTAGCTCGTATGTACATCGCATGTTGTGTTACTTGCACGCGGGGAGGCGACATTGTTGTCGCTCTTGCATCTCTCTCTCTCTCTCTCTCTCTCGCGCGATACGCGAGGACTTTCTATATCACGAGATCACACACACTGGTATTACAACAACAACGCGGGCGACGGGCACACACGCGATCTCGCGAGCTTCGCTTCGCGCGCGTGTCTGGCATTAAAGAAAGAAAGTCGCGCGATCGCGAGCGAGAAGCTCTGAGAAAAAAATTTACTAAAAAAAAAAAGGATCGAAAAAGGCAAGCCGCGCGATTGTTTTCGTCGCGGCGTAGCTGAGTGGCGCGCGAGGGCATCTCCTATTATGTAGATGTCCTGCAGCCGCCGCGCGTGCGAGATCGAGAAGAATATTGTTTGGCAAGCTGCGGCTCTTGGCTCGAAAGCACACAAACTAGCTGTACAGGCTTCCAAGAAGAATCAAGAATTGAGTGTGTGTATGTGTGTGTATGTGTGTGTGTGTGTGTGTGTGTGTGTGTGTCTAGTTTATATAGATATGCAGTAGGCGTTTTATTTTTACAACTTTCTCTCCATCGTTTCGATAATTGTTCGCGTCTTCTCGAGCTACTGCACCGCATCGAGCGACCGAATGACTTTTCCCTTTGCAGCTATGCAGAGCGAAAATACGATATATATTTGCTCTTGACAAAGCATTTTAAATGCTAATCCCGATGGCTCTTCAATTACTCGACTTTGAAAAATAAAAATTATAAAGTAAGACATCTGTCGTAGAGCATTATTTATCGCTCTTTCGAGGGCGTGTTTATATGCGTAAAGCGATGCTCGCACGGCGGCGACTATTTTTCACCGAGCTGTCAACGACTTGGCTTTTAATAGAGATTAATTCAAAAAAGTCCGCTACTGCGTCCGCTTCTGTGTCAGTGCTCAGCTTTGCAATTCAAATGATCCTATACACGTACGCGTGATCGTCAAGGTGTTCAGTGGTTTATATTAGATTCTGCTTAAAAAAAAAAAAAAAATTAAATCTAACTGCAGGCTTATCGGCGTGCAAAAATTTCAACCTCTGGGGATTGATGAGCATTAATTGAGGTTACGATAAGACTAAATGGGACTGTTACCTACATAGTATTATCCATAACTATTGAACGGTGAAGATATCATTGCAGATCCAAATGTAAATCCATGAAACATAATAATTGACTTTTTTTTAGAAAAGGCAGAATGATTATCCAAAAGACCCAAACAAATTTCATTTTTTCACTAGAAAAAAAAAGAAATAGGAAAAAAATTGTAGTTATATCACCATTTATAGTGTTATTTAAAAAAATACTACTAATACATTGGCCACGAACTAATGAAAATGTGATTTTACTATTGTATAAGTTCTTATAGAATAAATAAAGTAAAAAGTCCTAATTCAAAATGTTAAATTCTAGTTGACATTGCAAGGAATCTTCAAGAAAGCCCATGGCGATTGAACTTGATTAATATCAGTAAATTGTTTATTGATTTTCAAATCAATAATTTGCTTTTTTTTAACAATTATCGACGTCACTGATGTAGAACCGCTAAACGCTTCAAAGACTAATTGAACCTCATTCCTTTAAAATCGTTTCGTACGATTATGTTCTATACCAGTGTGAGTTCAGAGATTTTGTGTAAATGATTGTCCGCATACCGTCATATGTACGATGTGCAAGCAAATTGTAAATGGATAAAGTTTTTATTTCTATTTCGATGCAGTTTCAACAATAGGCGAGTCACCGTATATCAGTATATTACCGAGTATGGCTAGTCTACGGCATGAGGGAAAGTATGCTTATAAGAAGCACAATTACAATTGCAGGATCACCTCAATGATATACGAATAGTCGAGTAGTCAAATTCCTGCAGTAGCAAAGTGTTTACTAATTGGTGAATTCGAAGTACGGCGTTGGCTACTCAATGCGCTTAACCTCAAATATTTTCTCAGTGTAATTTGTAAAAATTCGTAGTGAGTAAATTTAATCAAACGAGTGATGGAAGGCAGGGAGCGGGTGCTTAGGTATAAACATTTTTTGTACATGTCATTATTATTCAAGCTATCTAGCATCATGAAACTTGATTATTCTTAAGGGTGAAGCAAGAGTTGGATGATATTGGGCTGGATGGAGGCAAGGATTATAAAGTCAATTTGGTGGACTTTGGTGAAGCCAAAAACGTCGAAACATTTCCGTATTATGAATCACCAGTGAGTTTAACGATTTAATTGATGTTTTATTTTTATTTAATACTACTGCACATTTAAAATTTTAGGCAAATCTTAAGATTGAGTTTATTGCATTACAAGAAAAGTTGGATGAAAAAATATTCGTAGAATTTGAGTGCAAAGATGTTAAACTTGAAATGAAGACTTTTTCAACAACTATCTGCAAGTCTGAGCCTCAGAATTTTCAATCTATCGTAAAAATGGAAAACCAAATTGAGACCAGTTACAAGAATGATCTCAAAAAGCACATGATAGCAGTACATGCTCGTATCAAACTCTTTGATTGTGATATTTGTCATAAATCATTTGGACAAAAGGGTAACCTTAATATGCACATAAAAACAGTTCATGATCGTAGCAAACCATTCGAGTGCGAGATTTGCCACAAATCGTTTGGATTTAAGGGTGACCTCAAGAGACACATAAATGGAGTACACAATCGGATCAAACCCTTTGAATGTGACATTTGTCACAAATCATTTGGACAAAAAGGTTACCTCAAAGTTCACATAAATGCAGTACATGATCTCATTAAACCCTTCGAATGCGATACTTGTCACAAATCATTTGGAGAAAAAAGAGCCCTCAAAATTCACGTTCGTAGAGTACATGAATGTAAAAAACCATTTCAATGTAAAATTTGTCCTAAATTATTTGGAGAAAAAGGTAAACTCAAAAGGCACATTATTACAGTATATGATCATAGTAAACCCTACGAATGTGAAATTTGTCACAAATCATTTGGATACCCAAGTGCACTCAAACGTCACGTGAATGAAGTACATGATCGGAGCAAACCCTTTGAATGTGACATTTGTCACAAATTATTTGGACAAACTGGTCATCTCAAATCTCACATTAATTCAGTACATAATCGAAGCAAATTCTTCGAGTGCGACATTTGTCACAAATCATTTGGAAGAAAGTGTACTCTCAAATCTCACGTAAATTCTGTACATTATCGTAGCAAACTCTTCGAATGTGAGATTTGTCACAAATCATTTGCACAAAAAGGTCGTCTCAAAATGCACATAGGCACAGTACATAATCGTAACAAACCCTTCGAGTGTGATATTTGTCACAAATCATTTGGAGTCAAGAGCAATCTCAATCAGCACATAATGGCAGTACATGATCGGAGCAAACGGTTTGAATGTGAAATTTGTCACAAATCATTTGGACTTAAAAGTAACCTTACAAAACACATAATGCGGGTACATTATCGGAGTCAACTCTTTGAGTGATAAGTTTTTCTATATACATTTAGACGCAATGAGTTTTCCGCAACCATATGAGTACGCTACGTATTAAAAAAATCATTCACTTAAATAACTTTTTTAACACTGCGTGCGCGAAACACGGGCTTTCTAACCTTAAATCGTCAGAAAACCCTAGTTTCTCGCAAGCAGAGTTAAAAAATATCGTTTGCAACTAGTCCGCGAGGAAGTTGACTCATCCAGGAGTCTTTGCACCCTCGCTACGCTCGGGTGAAAACAACTCCTGGATGAGTCAACTGCTTCGCGCACTTGTTACAAAATATACTATTAATTTCGAAAAGAACAATAAATTATTTCAAACAGTTATTTATGTTTTTGTGATTAAAAAAAAACCCTTTTCTCACTTTTCGAATAAAACACTACTAATTTAGCAAGTAGCTTCGTTTAAAAAAAAAACTTATTTGCAAAAGTTTTTTTTTTACACAAGACGTTATCACACAAATACATTAATAAAAAAAATTTGGCCAAAAGGCCAAAAAGTGAGAAGAGCACAAGCATATACAGACTTTTTAGGTAAAGCAATTTAGTTTAAAAATATGTCATTGATTTTTGTTTTGAATCATTGAGCGTGTTCAATACTTATTTATAATATAATTGATATGGATCGAGAGCGTGGCGCGTGCATTAAATTAAAATATCATTACGATAGCTCAGGCCTTAGTGCACGATGAAGCGCGATAGACACAAACGTGAACGCACGTATAACGACACTTTTTTATGGAATCGTGGCTGTTCAGGTTTTGGACGGACGAACGGATGGGCGCTCGTAAGAGAGGACAAGGTGCACATACGGACATAATACGTGTGGCATACACAGACGAGTCGACGCAGAGGAGGCACACGGAGAAGACGACGAAGAGGACGAGACGAAGCGTACGGTGCGTGCAGCAGCAGTGCGAGGGGGGCGCTCTCGGCAGCGCTGCGGCTAGTCAGACCAGTTTCTCTCCTCTTTGATATTTTCGAGAGTTAAGAAAGGAGCACCGCAACAACAAAAAAGCAGACACAGACGCGCGTACTCCACCGACTCTCACGGCATAAAAGTGTTGGATCGAAACTAAACGCGCCCGAGCTGTACGTACAACGCGTATACGAAAAAGCCAAAGCGAAGCCGGTCGGCGCTCCGCGATCGTCTTGTAATTACATATTATACGGGGCGATCTGCCGCGCGCGTCGAGTGTACGACTACTTAGCCTACATCTAATCACCTATATATATGTGTGTATACCTTTAGCAGGTCTATGAGTTCAATCGTTCAACGCTGCTCGCTAGGCAAGGTATTTCAGAGCCTCGTCGTCGTTGTTATGAAATTCCGTTTGCTGTATAAATCCCGCGGGAAGGGAGCTCTCTCGCACAAACTGCATGCACACACACACACACACATACGTACACACGGACACACTAAAGACTGGCAGGCAGACACTCGATCACGGCGAAAGAGCTCTAATGACAGGTCATATGTATGCAAGCGCGCGATTTTATCCCACGCTACATATAAGTTGGAGCTCAGGCCCGAGCGCTACACACACACATATGTACTACCGATGTACACGTATCGCGTTGCGAATTAAAAACACATTTCCGAGTTGTTGCGCTGTGTAGATTGGCCTATATACAGGATAGAGAAACAAACGCCTCGAATCAAAACGGCCACTATTCGATAGTCTATGATATTTTCGTGGCATAACTAATCGCGGGTAATTTCAATTGCTTGGAAAACGGTCGATGACGCGAGATTACGGTATAGAGGAGGAGCTTTTTGCATCTAGAGTCACGAGCGCAACAGTCGCGCAATTTATATATTTTATATAAATTTCGCGTAATACGATGTCGAGAATCGAGCCTCGGAGAGCATGCGTACACACGAAGAAACAGAAAGATCGGTAATTTTCTTAAACGCGTCTTACGATCCGCGCGTGTTTATTAAGCAAATCGGCATATAAGTACGTTCGAGGACTCGTGCGCAATTTTCGGTCAACTTATAACTATATAGAGAGGTCAAGCTTCGCCGCGCGTCTCCTCACCAACCGACCGGTATACACTTATAAACTCGTCGGCTCGCGCGCGCACAAACACACGAGGCCGCGTAATATCATACTCTTGTTATTCAACTCACGGAATCGCAGGATTACGAATGCACAAGTACTACTCTAGCAGATATATGCACGCGTTTACATTATACACGGCATTTACTCTTTGCTCCGCTAAGTCGCGTTGGTAGTAGCCGCGACTCTGCGTCGAGCGCCTCTACTATATATAATACAGTGGTTGACTTTTACCGCTATGCAAAGAAAACCGCCGACGCCGTCGTCGTCTTCGTACGTTGCTGCTGCTGCTGCTGCTCTTCCATGAGCGAGCTGCTTGCGACCTGCATCTTAGGCCAGCGAGCTTTAAACAGGGTCACGAACTTGTAATACATACTCGCGACGCAGCCTAGCGTACACACACACACACAAACGCGTACCATCTCTAGTCTAGTCTTCCGCAGCGATCGAAAAGAGATGCTGCTGTTGTTGATCATGACGATGCACACGCCTCTCGTCTAGGCATGGCCTAGTGCACATAATGCGTGAACGCACCACGCGCGAGGAGCATCGATGCGCGCACAGCTGCGGTATTTTATATAATAATATATCTATCAGCGGCCGACCGCAGCTTATATGTAGCTCTCGGCTATCTTCTCGCGAGCTGCTCTCTCGCTGGCGGCGGCGTCGACGGCGAGATTGACCTTCGACCTCGATTTTCGTGGGATATATTTTGATCGGTCATATCCACGAGGAATAATATAGGCTAATTGAAATTTCTTCTGTGTGTGTATACGTTTAAATTTAACTTATACAAAAAATACGAAAAAAAGTACACAAGCGTCGGATGAAATGAGATTTTGCTGCGAGATCTGCTGCGACGTTGCAACGTTGCCATCTCGTCTCGTGCGGGGGGCTTTATAATGCAATCGATGTATAACCGATGAAATACCCTTCTTCCATAGGCTTCGTACGGTGCTGCGTTTCTTTTGAAACGACGACGACAACGATGATGGACGAGGATCGAATTACAAAACGATTGCAGCAGCAGCAGCGTCAGAGAGAAGCAGCTTTCAAGGTAATTGTCAAAACCGAGTCAAGCGCTGATTGAGGCTCGTTTGTCGTAAAACAGATCGCAAGGTTGACTGCAGCTCGCCTCTTTTCTTTCACAGTCGACTGCGCACACATACGGCAAACCGCCAAAGGATCTGGATATTACAAATGACTATTCGATTTTTAGAAGCCTTATACGATACGCGTCCCCATGCATATACAGTATAAGTATACGATGGTGCAGCAGACATTGGCGCGCTTGACTGTGACGGCGCCGGGGATATTTGCGCAATTGGTTTACCAAATGGATGGTCTACATCGCCGAGTTAAGATCGACGACAACGCGACTACGTGAAAGGTGTGTCGATCATCGCAGTGTATACATAGGATACAATCGAGGCAGGCTCGAATATTCAAGCGCTATGCATTCCGAGACTTTAAGCTCGAGCGAACGAGCCACAGAGATATATCGCGCACAGACTGTGTGCAAGTTTTCTCGAGTCATGAAGAGATTAATCACTCGTCGTCGTCGTCGTCGCAGCCGTCGCCGCTTCTCTCTCCCTCTCTCTCTCTCTTTCTCCAAGACAAAAAATAAAAAGCTTAATAATTTTCGCACTCCGTATATTCCCATCAGTCTTACATTATATATTACAAATACACGTGCACAGATGGATGTAGCACTCTTGCGCGCCGCACGAAATCACGACGAGCGATGAAAAATCCCCTTCGCCCGCGGGAACGCTACATAATATACAACGTTATTTGGCCGCGAGCTTCGGGTTAATGCAGGCCATCGTTAATGAGCATGCAGGCCCTTATATATATTTGGTTAAAAACGTGCGACGTACGTACGTGCATAAGTCGTGCGCTGGAAAAACAGTGGCGATAGGCAGACCGCGATCGCGACTAACGGATAAATAAACATACACGGGGGCAAAATTAAAGCGGCCGATCGTTGTGCGCGCGCGCGCGAGATCGCAAGAGAGCCGCGGAAAGAAGAAGGAAAAAGTAAATCGCGGGCGCGAATATACGTTTATATATCTCTCTAACACACACGGCTGTAAAGGGGGTGTCGATACGTGTGGGAAAGTCCGCGCGTCGGATCGTGGAGTCATGTGTGCTGCAACGTGCGCTGCAGAGCGCCCGGTGCGATGATACGCCGAGTGCACGTTAGACTCGAGAGAGGATCGAGACGTACAGAGAGCGAACCATTGGACCGTTAGAAGGTTTCAAAGGGGGATATCCCGTGTCGCAGCAGTGGCGGCAGCGATGCCTCGACGTCGCTGTATATGCATGCATGCAGAGTGTAAGCGAGAACTTGACTCTCGGTATATCTATTGCTCGTATATAGGGTATATATATATCATTGCTCGTACACACACAGAGTCAAGGGGGGAGTGATCGGTAAGTTTTACATTCGTCGTCGTCGTCGGTAGTAGTCGCAGGTGCTGCTTACCGCTGCGGCGTGACTGTACACATAGCGTATTATGCACCGAGCACACGCCTTACCGAGATATATAAACATTTTTTAACGAGCTATTTAACCGCACACACAAGCGCGCATTACATATTATTATATCGGCCAAAACTCGTGTTCGCAGCGATCGGTTCGCGCTCGCTCGAGCTTTATGTACTATAGGAAATAATATACAGATAAGCGCGTGTTCCGTTTGCGAGCCACGTAGTATACGCGTCCGTGGCTTCGTGTGGTCCCACGTGAGCCCGAGTGAGCTCGCGCGACCAAGGTAATAAAGTCCGCTATGTAAGCTTATGTATATTATGTAGACGACGATCACGCGCGAGAGGAGCGCGTGAATCTTGGGCGCGCGCTCTTAAAGTCGCTCGCTCGCGTCACCTCCGCACAGCACCTTAAGCAGCACAGTGTGTTTGTGTGCGACTGGCTTGTTTGTCTGAAATTTAAAGACGTCGTTACACAGATATATATATTATATACATTATAAAATAAAACATTCGTGCGCGAGAAGTCCAGCTGATAACGTTTCTCTTTTCACGTGGTACGCTGTACGTGCAGTGTGACCCGACTGCGAGGTATTATCACAACACCGAGCTATTCGCGACTTTAAGCGCGGTCGTAAAAAGAAAAGGAAAAATTTTCAGACACCTTCTCCGCGATGATCGTTATCGGCTGATGTAAACGTATTTATATTTTAACCGTTTTTGTGGGTAGGCGAGTTGAAAATTAGCGATACAGCAATATAATGCCTGTGACACGACGAGAGAGAGAAAGAGAGAAGGACGAGATCGCTACTTCTTGCCCTACGTGAACACAGATTCCAAGTCGCAGAGATATAAAATTTAACGTAAGCGGAAAAAAAGTGGAACCGTTTAAGACCTTAACTTTGAGATTTATGTGCTACGGAGGGGTATAAACAACAGTATATACGAGTCGAGAGAAGTTTTCTTCGTGGTATATACTCGCGTTTTACAGGATCGACGAGCACGTGATCCTCTTCTCGACTGTTTCGAGAGAGTCACCGCAAGTTCATACAGACGTAGGCAACAGCTGTTCGAGTTGCGGAGCCGCAATACGTCATATTACGGCAATTTAATACAGATCGAATACATCATAAAAGCTACGGATCGAGTGCACGCGCGTAGCAGTACATTATAAGCTCGTTGGCGAACAACAATCGCGCGATCCCTGCGTACAATGTGTGGCTTTGACGCTAAAGATATAATAATTGACGCCTATATACGACGTGTGCAGCCTTTTTCCCGATATATCTACCTACTTATAAGTATAGGTCCGAATTGAGTCGAGGTTTTTCTCGTGACAACGTCGCCCTTGCCGATCGCTCAAGAAATCGAAACAAGGAGCTCTTTGTCATATTGAGCACGTCGTCGTCGTCGTCGTCGTCGTCGTCTCAGTCGCATTATATTGTCTTTTTATACGTCTGCGCCTGTGCGTTGTGCGCGCCTGGGTTGGGCTTTGTTATTTTAATCGAAAAAGTATACGTGTATTACGGTCTATAGATGATTGCACTCGGGCTCACTCGGGCAATCCTTTTTTCCTTTCGCGATTATTACTGCGCGCGACATTGCGGCAATATCCCCCCGTGTGGTCGTAGGTACTTAATATATATCTAGCATTGGCGATTATTACATTGTATATTGCACTCGTGAGCTGTACACGATATATATTTAATAATGACCTTAGGTATTCCGATGCATTTTACGACTTTTATTATGTACCGATTGGCTTTGTCGTCGTCGTCGTCGTCGCCATACAGTATAGTAGTGTACAATATTTATCGTCGAATCCGGCCTAAAGAGGAAAGCGAGATTGGTATCGGACACAGGTCGATTAGGACTCGGGACTACGCGCCGCTACGGCTTAATAAGCCGAATTTCCGTTGGACGCGCGTAGGTAGGCCTCCTTATAACGACTCGCACGTAAGTACTTCGTGAGTCGCATCGAAAATTAACCCGTACACACACAATTGCATGTACATGTATGTGAGTGCAAACTCGAGTTCTCGCAGCTGCTCGGAGCGCAGTTAAAGTCGTTATACATATAGGTACCGCAGCAGCAAAAAGGAAGAAAGGAAAAAAGTCGAAGAAGATACCAATCGCGAAAATGACGAAACTTCGCACGAGCTCGTCGGCGGCGGCGGCTTCCGAATATAATCATCGTGCGTGCGTGAGTTTCGTTGCACACGTACTGCATCGCATTGCAGTACTCGCGCTCGAGTGCTCGCGGATATATAGGTACACATTATATACGAAGGCACCCGAAATTTCGCGAAAAAGAGGATAATGCGATGCGACCTACATGTGCACGCGCGCGCAGACGATCGCGCCCAGGTCGATCCCGCGACTGCTGCAGTGCACGAGTATAAACGTAAACGTGCTACGTACGCATTATAACGCGTGTATGAGCTCGTATACCGAAAATCGTATCATGGGCAATCTTACCGTTAGGTATATGGATACATCGCCGCGTTCCTCGGATGGCCAGCAATAACAAAAAATAAAAAATAAATCGACCCATAACTCGGCCCGCGCCGCAGGACTTTCTTTACACACACGGTATGCACGCGCGCGACGACGAGATTCGGCAGAGCCGCGCTGCGAGAGGGACGAAAAGGAGCGAAAAACGTTTAAAATGTATATTGCGGTGCAATTGGCGCCGTTTCAGACAGCTGTAGGCAGTCACGAGTCGGACATACTACAGCATCAACAACAGCAGTGGCAGCAAATAGCAAGTGCGAGCTTGCTCACAACCATATCGGGCTGATATATACGATGTATATAATGTCACTTAGCCGATCTGGGACTGCATCGCCGAGTCCAGTTCCGAGTACATAAATGCCAGTCTCTCTCTCTCTTTGGCTGCTATATGCTACTTCGTGCGTATACTGCACCACGAGTCAGAGAGAGAAAGAGAGAGATATAGCTGCAAGAGAGAATGAACGTGTGTTATGTGTAGGAGAAATTACGAGAGACAAGTCGAAAAGTCGAACGATCAAGTTTAAGTTTCCCATTAGCCTCTTTCGATCTCGCAAGCCAAGCAAGTGTGTGTGTATGCTCGAGCGGTGCACAATATTACTTTTATATATAATAATAATAAAAAATAAACTCGCGTCGAGGATCATCGCTGCGCGCGAGGAAAAGAAATTGCCCGCGATATGTGCAGCAGCACAGGCCGTTAGCTTTTTAATCAGCTATTAATCGAGCCCGAGCGCGCCGATCTCTCGCGATTGTTAGTTTATAAATACGGTTCCGAAATTTTTCGGTGAAAAATTGCATATAGTACACGCGGTTTGTATAGTGTAGTTTCGAGAGACGCGCGTTAGTCAGTGAACGTGATTGTGTATACACACACATGTGTCGGGCTCGCGCGCGGCGCGTAGGCTTCTTCTTCCCATTATTATTATCTCGTTTGCATCGGGCTGGAGCGCGTGGAAAAAAAAAGTTGGCACAACGTAGTTATAGCGCCAAGCCGCGCACACACTTTCACCGCACCCACCCGCGGAGAGTTTGGCGCAACAATACCACTACGAAGCCAGCTGTATACACATGTATCGCGTATATATGGTACTGGATAGACGACGTCGGGTTTTAGACACATTCGCAGGATGAATTTACCCGAGCTATATGGTGCTTATATACGTGCAAGAGCAGAAATAACATATAGTAGCGAGTCTAGTCTGTCTTTTCTCTGTCTCCGTCTGTGTCTGTCTCTCGCGGGAGACCGAGCAAGAATCGAGGGGGGTGACTCTCTCGCTCGTTCGCAGCTATTATTATTGTATCCTACGTTTATAAGTAAAGTTTCTGCAGTAGCTAGCTATACACACTACACACGGGACGCGCGCGAGGATTTCGAGTCGTGCAACACCCCGAGTCACGATCAGCCCCGCACACGAGCGCATCTGCGAGTAGTATGAGCTAGAAGCTAGTAGCATAGTAGCAGCTCTCTGACTAATGGTCGCGGGAATCGTTTTCGTCGAGGCTCGCTTCTATATGGATATGAGTGATCTCGACAGGCGTGATTAGGCTACGTATACTTATTACTCGATCCTGTACGTGAAAAATTCGTGTATATCGCGCGTCGACGTCTTATACATTATGTAAGCTTTCAATGAGGCGCAAATATATATATCATAAGCTCGACGATATAATTGCCATCTCCGCATAAACGGGGATCCGAATCCATGACAACATTTCTCGAGAGACGAGAAAATCCTATATCGCGTGTTATACGTATTAGAGTGAGAGAGAGAGAATCTGGGAAAGCAGGCCAGTACAGCATTGAGCAGCAGCATAGGAGCAGCATCAGCACATGCGCTCATACGAATATAGCTCCGGCATCGATCGATCAATCTTTCTCGACTCTCTCGCAAAAACTCGGCATGCACTCGTGCGCGCTTGTGTGTACTTGTATAGTATATAAATACGCGCGCGCGATATCTCTCTGCACACGCGGAGCAGCGAGCTTGCGACTGCACATGTACGTATATGTGTATCTGCACTTGGATAATTCGACCTTCCTTTTCGTAACACACACACACACACACACACACGAACACACGGAGTCAGTGGCGAGAGAGCTGCATAATCCACGATATACGACTTACGTGATGCAACTCCGCGAATATATTATGCACACACATACGAACTGCTGGTGCCGCTGGTGCGCATCGTTAATGCAACTCACGCGGATCGCGTAAACCTCCAGTCGATATACGTATATTTTTGCGTGTGCTGCTGCTGCTGCTGCTTTTACTGCAGCGCGGTGCACACACAGGCAGGCGGTGTACAGTACACTGCAGTTTTATATGTCCGACCTTCGCCACGGCTACTGAACTCCTCTATATACATTATTATACACATACTTAAAGCGCGCGTTAGTACTACTGCTGCAACGCGAGTGAACGAGCGAGCCATGCACACACACACTGAATCGGAGCCCTTTTTCGCACGCGCACGCAGAGCCGCCGCTGCGCGTATTATTATATATATAAAAGCGCACGAGAGAGAAGTCTCTGTCCTCAAGGCCACCGAGTTCGTTATAAAGCATCGTCGTCGCTGCGCGTATGGCTCCGCGATTCCGTTAACTACTATGAATCTCTGCGTATATGAGCACACACGCGCGACAAAGCGCACATAACACAAAAGTGTATTTATAAAGTGCAACTTACTCGTATGGATGTGTCGTCCGTGTGCAGTGTCGCACTGCAGTGGCGAGGATCTTTACTGCTGCTGTCTCCGACTGTTTTGAAAACACTCGTTATTTAACGAAGCTCCGGCTGAGAGTCGATGATGCCGCTGAACTCGACACAACGATGTACGCACAACACGATATTAAATTTTGCCTCGCGAGCGCAAAACTAGTCACTGTCGGCCCTCCGGTCTCGAGTTTCGCCCAACCGCGTTACTCAGCACAATCCGAGCCTGCGTTACGACGATTCACCAAAAACTGTTTTCAAGAGTCGTTCTCCCTCGTTCGAGTGCGCACACACGCGCGCGAGAGAGGAGGAGGCAGTTTAGTGCCGCCCGAGAGTGCGAGGAGAGCTGCGAGGAGCCGAGTCGAGATTTTGTATTGGGAATCGGTGCGCGATCACGTTTCTGTGTATACAGTCAGCAGCAGCAGCCCTGCGCGCCAACGACGAAGAAGAAGTGGTGTATATCGAGAGAGAGAGGAACGAGAGAAAGAAAGATATATGTAATAAACTGGAGTTGCGAAGCCGGTCGAGGGAGGCAAAAGATAAAGAGAGGACGAAGAGAAGAGTGAAAAAAGGAGCAAAGGAGTCTCTCTCTCTCTCTCTCTTGCTACTCGCTGTGTATATATGTGAGTCTCTGTGTCTGTGTGCTGTGGATATGGATGCTGCAGAGCGTGGCTTTGGCTCTTTCTCTCTCTCTTTTGAGCTCTCTTCGTTTCTCACCGGCGTTTGCAGCACACACACACAAACACACACTTACACAAAATATATATCTATATATAAACACTCACACACGCGCGAATAGCAGTGCAGTGGAGTGCAGTGCACGGACCTCGCGCAGGAACAAAGCGAGGAGAGCCAACTTGGTCGTCGGTTACAAGGTAGTATCGAAGACGCGCCGTGCGCGCGGCACACACCGCGCACTACTATTGCTACTGGCACTGCAGCAGCGGCGCGCTGGCTGCGGGACACACGCAGCACTCACCACGATTGCTGCTCCTCGCGCCTTTTTGCGAGCCTCGACACTTGTCCCAATACACGGTCGATTACGAGCACTGATAAAAGATGCAAAAAAACGTTCACAGTCGATCGACACTTTGTACGAATTATAAAGTTAATCGTTCGAGTTAATTTATTTTCGCTCAACTCAAAACAATAAGCGAAAAAGAAGGCAAAAAGGAAGCAACGAAAAAAGCGAAGAAAAAGAGGAAGCGTTGCCGGTCTCCTGCGCGTATAATCAGAGAGTCGCGCGCGCAAAGCAGAGCGACAGGTGCAGCCGGTCGGATCGTCGGCTTCGCACTGCTAAAACGATCGCGGCGGGAACTGCGCGAGACTCTACTCTGCACACACGCGCACATACACTATCTCTCTCTCTCTCTCTCTCCACATATACACACGGATATATGTGCCGCCACCGCCGTATTCGCCGGTCCTGTGCTGCGCACACGCCGCCGTCGACGAGATATATATTCGCCGCTGCTGCTGCTGCTGCTCGTGCTACTGCGCGCTCAGATGCTGCTGCCGCACTCCACCTCTTCTTCTTCTCTCTTTGCTAAAAGCCAAGCGGGTGGGGAGCCCTCGCGCACATATACAATATCTGCACAATGTGTGTTTGGGCGAGTTCGCACAAATCGGCGCGGTGGCGGTATATTCGGCGTTGTTTTCGCCCCGAATCTTATTCAATCCTGCCTTTTGCACAGCTCACGCCGCGCGAAGATCGCACGCGCCAAAGGACTATACTATATCTATTTATTCGTATAACTCAGGGGAAGGCTCGAATCCAGAAGAGCTCGATTTTATTTATGAAAATTAGCCGCTGCATTCGCAATAGCTGTAAATGAAGTCATAAATTTACCAGCAGCTCTGCGTATATAACTCGGCCTCGTTCGCTCGCTTTATAATATTCAATTAAAATCTGATCGAGTTTTGTCCCCTCTTACTTCCTACTAGCTCCCCGATATTTATTCTATATATTTATACTTTGTAATCAGTATAATCATATGCGCTTAATAATCCATGGCTATGCGTACGTACTCGAGCCGCCTTACATATTTTGCGAATCGCAAGCTCGTTTCAAGTGTTTTGCCTTGGAAAAACATGGTAAATTTAGTGCGTACTACGAGTCAGAAGCAAAAAACATACAAATTCGAGCAGCAGCTCTGCTTCTGGCATTGAAGCACAATTTAAGTTGTTTGGCGGAAAACCCGAGTGAATCCTCGAGCCAAAGCAGAGATTTCATAAGGATTATAGCACACGCAAAGTCACATTAGTATAAACTAACTTTTAGAACGATCGAGCATTTGAATCTCCAAAAGTACCGATAAATACGCACATAATCAATGGAGAAAAGATAAAAGTTTATTGAAACGATTTTGAAAAACTTATTTCATTAATTTCATCACTTTGCTTCCTCTATGAGAAGTTTCTGTGATAAACTTGAAATTGAGTTTTTTAATCTGCTATCGTGAAATCATTTTATTTTCTAATTTTTAAACTAATATAGTAGATTATGTAATGCGGGCGGGAGGTTGTCGATCTGCACGAGTGTCAAACTTAACACGAGTTCAGGATTGACAACCGCCCCAGTTGCGTACACTTATTTTCATTACAACGTGCGGAAAGTCAATTTTAAGATCGCCATGTTCTTTTGTCTACCATTGAATTTTCTTGGAGTATGAAAATCAGTTTAGGGGTTTAGCAGGCAAAGTTTAGAAATGCTCCTTACTGTAGGACAAGGAATTTCTAATCGAATACGATTATGGAATAGTTGCTTGAAAAAATATTGTTCATTTTTTAGTTAATGTAAGAGACACAGGTGAAAAGTTTTTCATAATAACAACAAAATTAATAACAATTAGAAATATTTTATTGTTCTTTACAAAACTGAAGGATATTGTATTGTAAAAGATTGACTATAATTATGTAGTGCATTCACATGATTAGGGAAATCTTTATTGCGTCCAAAAATCATAAAACAAATCTCAATCTCTTACGGTATGTTAACATCATGTACCTTCATTACGTGAGTTTTGAGGTTATCTTTATATCCAAATGATTTTTGACAAATGTCACACTCGAAGGGTTTTTTGACAGCATGTACTATATTTAAGTGTTTTTTGAGGGTACCATTTTCTCCGAATGATTTGTAGCAAATATTGCATTCAAAGGGTTTGCTCCGATTATGTACTGCATTTACGTGAGATTTGAGAGTACTTTTTTGACCAAATGATTTGTGACAAATGTCACATTCAAAGGGTTTGCTTCGATTATGTACGGTATCAATGTGAGTTTTAAGAGTATTTTTTTGTCCAAATGATTTCTGACAAATGTCACATTCAAATAGTTTACTACGATCATGTACTTCATTGACGTGACGTTTGAGTGTACTACGGTATCCAAATGATTTGTGGCAAATCTCACACTCGAAGAGTTTGATACGATCCTTTTTTTCTCTGATCATGTACTGTGCCTATGTGCACATTAAGGTGATCTTTTCGTCCAAATGACTTGTGACATATATCACATTCAAAGGGTTTGAAATGATCATGCACTGAATTTATGTGATTTTGGAGATGAACTTGTTGTCTAAATGATTTGTGGCAAATCTTACATTCAAAGGGTTTGATCCTATTATGAACTACTTTGAAATGACGATCGAGGTAGCTTTGGTATTCAAATAATTTGTGACAAGCCTCACACTCGAAGGGTTGGCTGCGATCATGTACTGCAACCGAGTGTCTTTTGAGTTTACTTTTTTCTGTAAATGTTTTGCGACAAAATTTACACTCGAAGAGTATACTTCGTTTATGTACTGCCTTCATGTGTAATTTGAGATTATAATTGCGAGCAAATGAATTATGACAAATGTCACAAGCGAATAATTTGCTCCAATTATCAACTGTAATTAAGCACTTCTTGAATTTATTCTGGTTTCTAAGTATTTTCTGATTTACTTCTCGTTTATAAGTTTTGTGAGATGTTTTATTGTCTTTACATAGAAATTGATAATTACAGTCACAGTCCAATTCTTTTTTGATGAAAACTATCAGATTTTCATCGTTTGAATAATTGTTCTTAACTGGGTTTTCTATTTTAACGATTGGTGGATAACTTTGATTGTCGGTTTTAAGGTTGATTTTCGATAATGACTCCAATTCAGGTTTAACATCTTTGCATTCAAAATCTATAAATAATTTTCATCTAACTTTTCTTGAAATACCATAACCTCATTCATGAGATTCGTCTAAAATTAAAGTTTTGTTAAAACTTATGATAGTGAGAAATTGGAACATGCTTCAAATCATCAAACTCACCTTCGATTTATAAAACGGAGATGTTTTGAAGTTTTTCGTTTCGCTAGAGTTCACCGAACTGAATTTATAATCATTGCCTGCATCTGGTCCAGCATCATCCAACTCTTGCTTCACCCTAATGAATAATCGAGTTTGATGAAGCTATAACTTTAATTACAATGGCATATAAAAATAATGTTTATACCTAACTATACAATCCCCAGCCTTCCATCACTCGCTTGATTATATCTGTGGTAGAAAGGCATAACGACTTAAGTCCATTTTTCGTGTTTTCGAGAAAAACGCGTTTTAAGTTGATTGTGCCAGCCTAACTGAACGCGGACGAGTCAAGATCTGAACCTATGGTGTTTTAAGCTACTATGAGGTAGCTTTTCAACTATGTACTTATGAAATTGAAAGGCGCATCATAGCGATGATACCGAGCAAAAAATATGGACTTAAGTCGTTTTGCCTTTCCACGCTTTGCACTTAAGTCCACTTTTGTTGGTCACACTTTTTTCAATATCGATTATTTCGCGCATTTTGTCATCATAACCTCATTTAATGATATTACATTGATAAGATAGCTCATTTAACGTTATACTGCCGTCAGATCTCAAATCTTGCAACGAAAAAAGGCCAAACTGAAAATCGCGAAACGGGCCCCTCGCGTATTAAATGTACCAATCGTATAGTGAAATTCACAACATTCGAAGAGTGTGAGAGTTATTTGTATGTACGAATATCATTTTCTTTCATTTTCAAATCAAAGTAGACTCTCTATAGCATTTTGAAGCTCGCAAAGGTGGACTTAAGTCGTTTTGCCTTTCCTCGTTTCTCATGAAATGGACTTGAGTCGTTATGCACGATGCTGCAACTAACGATGGACGCTATATTCGTCTATTCTGACCTTTGTACCTCAAAGTGGACACTAAATATAGGTGTTTTTCATCATAACATCGATTTCCAAAAAAATGGACTTAAGTCGTTCCACCACAGATATGTACTCACTATGAAATTTTACAAAATACACCGAGGAAATGTTGGAGGTTATGTTGAATAGCCAGCACCGTACTTCAAACTCACCAGTCATCTCTTTGTAAACACTTGCTTACTAAGGAATGTCCTGAACTGATTACTCCCATATTTAAGTGTAGACTGCAATAATGCCGCGATTGAAAGAGCTCTTTGGTGATACTTTCCCTCCCTACAATCGATCGTTATACACTGTGATGTACTGCGAATATGTACGCACTCGCCAATCATTTATACAGGCACACAATTCGTCATGAAGCTGAGTAACTTCTTGCATGAAAAATGAGAATGGAAGATAAAAATTTACATAAATTACGAATATTTTCTTCTCAAAGTTTGTACGAGTAATAAAAATTGTTGAAAATTGTGATTATTAAAAAAAAAGAAAAAACGTCTTGATAAAATGTTGATGAAAAGTTAATATTTTTTAAAGTATTAATGATTTTAGGTGGAAAAAGATCTGATTTCGGCAATGTTTGCATAATTACAACTTTTAAATCCCACGTAACTATCTCATCGTGGGCTAGTGCTGGGCCAGTAATGACATCAACGCTGTCAGTACTGGAATCAATGTTGGACCAGTACTGGTTGGATACTGGAATGATAACAGTGAATCAGTACTGGCAGCCAGTATTGGCCCAGTATCACATGTTTTACTGGGCTAGTACTGAATTAGTACTGGTCCAGCATTGGCCCAATATTAAAAAAAAAACAAACAAATTTTAATTTTTCAATTCATGCATACATATGCAGTATATAATTTAATATTTTTTTATTTCGAGTATAAATATTTTGATACATTTCTAGCTCGATACTGGTTCAATGCTAGTTGCCGGTTCAATCATGAGATTAAGTCTCAGAAACAAACTCTTCGCAATCTTGGGCCAGTGCTGGATACCAATGTTGAACCAGTATTGAAAAAATAGTTATTTATGTAACAATAGCCCAAAAGGCTTTTTTGGGCACGAGTGTGTGGAAAAAGACACGAGTGCCGGCCATGCCGGCACGAGTGGGTGTTTTTTCCGCACACTGTGCGCAAAAAGCTGGGCACGTGTTGCATACAAAATTTTATGCAATAGTAAGCGAAAAATACGTTCATTTAAATGAGGCGTTTTACCGCACACCCGTGTCCAAAATGAGGCATTTTACCGCTCACCAGTGTCGAAATGAGGCATTTTACCGCACACAAGTGTCCAAAAGCGCTTTTTGCGCACTAAAAAATGTGCGATAAAAGACATTTTTCGTCTTACTATTGCATAATAGTAATTTTCGATACAAGTGCCATAAGTAACACTTTTTGGCACGGCGTAGTTTAGGGCCCGAGCGCAGCGGGGGTCCTAATAGCTGGGCCGAAAAGTGTCCCCTATGGCCCGAGTATCGAACAACATTTTATAGTACTGTGCAAAGTTCACATTTATGCCCCCTTTTCCGAGCCATGAGTCGCACTTTCTGGTAGCGCGCAGTGAGGTTAGCGCACGAGCGTACACGGAGAAATATTCTCACTACAAAACAAGATGCGGCGACGTGAAAGGGGGGCGAGCGTTAAGTTTTAAGACGAGCACGTCGAAACACGAGGCGGGGATGCTTTACGTATTGTGAAACGTTCCGTGCGACGTATTCTCGTGCGTGCATTCGAAATCGCGGTGCACATTCAAAATACAGTGGAGGCCGTTTATAACGAGGTCGGATATAGCGAGATACCGGCTATTACGAGAAGATTTTGGA